GGAACGAAGTTACGGACAGTTAATTAACAAACGGAGACGTAACAATATATATATAAATGTAGGTAAAAATACTATTGTCACATAGGGTACAAGGTTACAAGCCACTAACAGGCAATGGCAATAACTTGAGCACATGTAGCAGAGAGGTTATGTTTTCTATCCCATATTACCTCTGTTATCAAGTCTCATAAGTAAATCAAAATTATAAATTTCAAAAACAGGAGAAGATGTGAGTGTGCTCAAGCCTACAACATTCCATATTTATACTACTATTAACAAGATGCAGCCAGTTATCAGAAGATAGACACTCATAATGCTAACAACAAAACATTAAACTCCTTTCAAAACCATATTCACTATTATCTAGTATATTTCAGTTTCTAAAATGCTTTTCTAAATGAACTCTGTTAATAAATTTCAATACCTTGCTTATGACTAAATTAAGAAACTAGGAGCATTCTAACTTATCAAGTCCTTCCCAAGTACCTTTTATTAAATCATAAGAATTTTTCACAGTGTCCAACAACTTCTGAAATGTGTTGAAAGTTCCTTGGGAATTTCTTCTTTGAATTAGAAAAAAAACTTTATTTTGTTTATGATAAAATGTAAGGAACTTTTTTCCTTATCTTATCTTTTTCCATTCATTTATAAAAACACTACTAAAGCATTTTTAAACAGTTGATGTTTTTAGTTTTATTGTCAAAAAGATTCCTGTTTGAACATTCAATATTATCATTAACTTCACTTTTACAGTTCATAGAAGTTTAAGACTCTTGAAGTCATTTTTAGGTCTTTATTTAAGAAACTTTGCAAGTCCCTCTTATCCTTGATAATCATTGTCTTAACATTTCAAAATAAATCTCAGTACTCCATCATTGAAAACTTTCATCATTTATTCATCATTTAAAGTTTCTTTTTCATCACATTTTGGAAAGGGCTTTCAGTGACAATGTAAGATTTAAAAGTAATGCATTCTTTTTAAGCACATTTAACCAAATAGTTCAAATTCCCAGGCCACTTTTATATTTTTCATATTAGGGTCAATATTCCAGTGTTACAAATTATGTTGGAATTTCTTAATGTCAGCTTTTCTAAAATCAAGTACATAGTACTTATCTAATTCATATTGGAGTTACACATAAACATCAAGTGTACAAAGTTTTTGACAGTGATGATCCAAATGTTCTTGTATAACAACAATACTAACAATATCTCTTCTGTACTAACATCAATTATTAAAATAGCATTTCCTTTGCATGCTCTCGAT